ACACAAACACACAAACAAACACACACACACACACACGCACACACACACACACCCACAAACACACAAACACACAAACAAACACACACACACACACACACTCACTCAAACACACACACACACGCACACACACACACACCCACAAACACAAACACACAAACAAACACACACACACACACGCACACACACACACACACAGAGACAGAGACACACACAAAAAACACACACACACACAGACACACAGACAGACAGACAGACAGACAGACAGACCGACGGACGGACAGACAGACGGACGGACGGACGGACAGACAGACAGACAGACAGACAGACCGACAGAGTGAGTACACAGACACACAGAGACAAACAGACAGACGGATGGGCAATGCCAGACGGTCAGTGATGGAGTGATGGAAGGTCAATGACGGACGGACGGACAGACCGACAGACCGACCGACCGACCGACAAACAGACACACACACACACACAGACACACAGACACACACACACACAGAGACACAGACACACACACACACAAAACACACACACACACATAATATATGTGTATATGTATATATACACACATACATTTTTGAGACAAGCCGACTGATTGATGCGCTGCTGGACAGCAACATCTGCGCCCATCTAACTGCATGAAAGACTGCGGACATGCTGATGTGGAATGATGTGGATGTCCGGGGTTACCTGATCCGTCGCACGTCACAGGGGCGGCTGCAGCCGCCCTTGGCTCAAAGGTGGCTGTTGAACCGGTACTCAGAGCGTGTTCTGTTTCCACCTCCATCAGGTTCCTCGGCACTCCCCCCGCGGTTCTTGCATTGCTGTGAGGTCCGAGTCTTGCTCAGGAAGTGGCCTCCCTCGCCGCAGCCGTTATGAAGGACATTGTACACTCAAAGCATGCAAGTCGCCCTCCAACCAACCGCTCTCGGACATGGAAGACGAATCCTCCAGCTCGTTCAAACTCCTGCAAAGCCTTTGCCTTGCGCAAAGCTTGTTCCCTGGCCTCTGTTCGGCCAGTCAAGATGCTTTTGACGAACCGCCGAGGGAGTAACCGCATTTGCTCAACATGCTCTTGGAAACGTTCGAGCTTTCATGCCAAGCTACTCCGAGGTTCCAGGCCCCTGCCCCGCGCCCCACCCCCCTCCCCCCTCCGCATTTCCTGGACCCTTAACCGAGTGGGGGTGACCTCATGATGAGCGAGGCCAGGGAGGCAGTAGTTCCATAGTTCCATGCAGAGACAAGCTGATGAGCTGGACAGGACAGGGCAGTCTCAATCGAGGATTCATGGAACACTGAGCACAGTCTGTCGGAATGGCGTTCCACTCCTGTGTCACGGGTCAGGGTGGGTGCTGCCCCATTGTTCCCCTTGAAAACACCACAACCAACAGCACCCCTCAAGTTCATGCACAGTGCCAGTGTATTTGAGTTCAGAGCCCTGCATCCTCCTTGCCTTGGTTCTTTAGTGTAATGTCCTCATGTCAAGGCTTGCAGCAAAGAGAAGACGGCTCGCAGCACTCTGGTCTATGTGGAAGGAGAGTCTTAATTGCGTCCTCCAAACGTGCGATGTGCTTCTTGCCTCCCAGCAGGGCCTTCAAGATCCAGGCTTGAAAGGGCTTACATCACTTACATCTGCTTACGTGTCTTCGGCCTGGTCGTCCGCAAGAATGGGCGTCAGGGCACCTTGCCGCACCTCGGTTTGGGCAAAGATTTGCATGAGGTAAGGCAGAGTGGGACTCCGGCCTCACGAATGCGGCCGGAAATCTCGACCTCGTCGAAACTTTTGCCCAGTGTCGTGACTCGTGCAACTACCAAGAGTGAGAGGCCTCCGGCTCTTCTGTCGGCCGGCTGAATCTAGGCATCCGGATCTAAATCTACAGGTCCATTCTATTTCAGACTCAGCAACAACGAGCCGGAGCCACGCCATCATGAGTCCAGCACGGACCTCATCTGCCTCCTCCTGAACAAAGCTTGACAAGTTTATTACACACTGCGAAGCGACGAGGCGGAGCAGAGGCTTCGTGAGCCTCCAGGAAAGCGCTCTGCTTGCAGTAGATCTTGCAGGCGCCCACCTGGCAAAAACATCCAAAACCTCAGAAGAAATGTGGATGTTGACAAGCCATTTTGCCCACCAGTAGGTGCCCGGTAGCTCGCAGGGAGACAAGCGACCGTTTTGCCGAGATACTGCCAGGCGGACGCACGAAATGGCCCCAGGACCGCTCAACAGAGCACAGGCTTCAGTTAGGGCCCAGTCGTAGCAAGCAAGCTGCGAAGATCGATCTCCTGGTAGTCCTGCATGCAGAAACAAGCCGAGTGCTTGTTCAGCCGTTCGTGCTGGAATGTGTAGCAGGAAAGAAACTTGTGCAACCGCTGGACTAAGCAGGACCAACGCCTTCTGAGCGCGTCTTCTTTTTCTGGCAACAGCAGCACACAACCATCTCGAGCGTTCACAATCGTCCTTCTGCGCCAGAAACTTGCTGCGTGATACTTCGAGATACAGCACTCACGTGCTCTCAGCCTATTGACCTGCGGAGCTCACTTCTTGCCAGTTGTGCGGGCCTTGCTCTTGTCCTTGCCACGGGCCTCATGTTGCAGCGACGGGCTGCATGAATCTGCTAATAACATCTGAAAACAGAAGAGCGGGGACCTTCTTCATTCGGTTCTTGGTGTCCTTCTTTCCGCGGCGGCCTCGCAACGCAGCATACTCGGGTTCTGCTTTCCTCAAGATCGGCTGGCGCATTAGTTGCAGCCCCTGGCGCACCTGCACCCGTCTTCTCACCACCGACACCGGCCTCAGCTAGGATGCAGGAGCACAGCACCGGCATTCTGTTTTTCCGGCTTCAGACCGAGATCCATGACCTCTGCTCCGATTCCGGTATGCACTGACACTGAGCGTCGTGCACGCTTGAGCCTGTACTTCGGCTCGAACTTCTTCATCTTGTCCAGGCTCTCGTAGATGAGGCCTTCCACACAGTCCAAGCTTCGTTCCAGCCCGCCACGGGCAGAGGTGGTCGAATTCTTTGATTTATCATCGGCTGACACACCAAGCTCTCGGCCAAAACCGGTGCTTCGACCACCACCGAAGGCCGTCTTGAAGCTGAACAGCTGGATGCAGGCGGTGTCTTTCACTTTGTACCTGCACCCCAACCCTTCATGCTGTAGTGCCGCACGACTGCACTTGGCTCATCACTTCTGCCTAACTGTCTGGTGGTGGTTTCACAGCAAACGTGTGCGCACATTTTCGCCAATTTTTCTGTGAGGTCCTTCTTTGCCACCTTGCTACGAATGGGTTGCTTGGCGGATGTGATCTGGCTGTGCCGGCAAGAGGTGTGCAACACCAATGACTAAGAAGCCGGCATTCGCCATGCTGGGATGGATGACATCCAGCACGAACTGCTTCCTTACCAGTATTTATCAGTGCTCACTACACTGTCTCATCGGACGGCATCCCCACTTTGGAGTGTCTTGCATTCTCGGTGGCTGCTGAGGGATTCACCGGGCCAGCAGCGGGTTGGTCTGAAACCTCGTGCAAACAGATTAACACGCATCTCTGGCTCTGCAGTCTCCGCAAGGCTAAAGATGCAAAGCAGCTGAGGTCAATACTTGCGCGTTCGGATGGTGAACTCAGACATGGTCGGCAACTAGGGCTGGAATGCTGTGTCCGTTGACTGCTGCCTGCCTGACCTTTTTTGGAGCCAAAAGAGCCAAGCGCCGACACACTGACAAACACACTGTCAACATGTCGTGGCACGGCATTCTCGGCAAAATCAGCAAAGTTGGCAGCGGGATTTCTCCCCCCCGACAGGTCAAAAGCCTTTGGCCCCATGCCCTGAGTCCCCGAGTCCCTGTCCTGCTTCTTGAGCTTCCGCTCCCAGTGTGCTGCCAGCCAGACCTCAAGAAGCAGCTTCGCAAACAGAACACCTTTCAGCACCATCTCCAGCCTTTCCCCAGATTCCATTTGGTGCAATGAGCTTTGCGAGCTCCATGAATTAACGTTGCATCGAATGCCGCTCACATGCTGGAGCCTGGATCCTGGCTCTGGCAGGCCATGCAGGCCGTTTGTAGCTTTATGCGCTCACTCTCGGATCAAACTAAGGGGCTTCCAGGGAGTTGATCGGGGTGGTATAACTGCAGTCATTCCGCCTGCTACCTAAAGCTGTAGCCATGCACAAGAAAGGAATCAAAAGGATCCAACAGCTCGCAAGCAACTCTGCGCAACATGATGGAACCCGCAAAGCAAAGGTGGTCACCAGCCGTTTTGAGACTGCTGGTCACTGGGCCGAACCTTGTCGCCAGAAGGGACCCGACCTTGGACAGAGCTCCGGACATGCTGAGACCGTTTCCATCCGCTGTGCTACGCATTACTGCGCGTTCCGAGGACGCAGCTTCCGAGGAAGCACGGGCTTCTTCCTGGCAGCTCCCGACGATGCCGCGGTCAAGTGTCGGAGTCGGCACGGCGGACAAAGCTGCTGAAAGTATGCTGGTCACTCCTCGCCAGCTCACGCAGGATTCCGAGGTATGGCGAACACCTGCTGCAAGGACCGCGATGTTGAGCAAGCAGCGTACGCTTGTGCAATGCTGAGTGCAACACTGGGTACCATCGGTCTCGTACCTTGCACATCTTACATCAAGACTTTGCGATGTCAGCTATCGCAAGGAAACCCCTACTCTGGACCACAAATCTGTCGGCAAGGCGTTCTGTGCCAGTCGAACCAGCAAGCGTGTGCATCGACAGATGCCTGCGAACGTGAGAGCGCATCTCACTTTTTCAGCGATGATCACATTTAACTTGTTCTTCCGATTGGACAGACCGATTGGCACAGGGAGCTGCTTCATACATGTCTCGCTCAGTTGCCGAGTCACGCAGGCACTTATTCACCGTCATTTGTCGCCCATCAGCATGCCATGATTCCACTGTTCGTTGCGTCTTTTGGATGCAACAGAGCAGAAACATCTAACTTCGGCCCAGCCCAAGCAAGCTTGCGCTGTGGTTGTTGTTGTTGTTGGTGGTGGTGGTGGTGGTGGCTGCCGTTGCTGTTGTCATTGCTGCTGCCGCTGCCGCTGACGCTGCCGCCGCCGCCGCCGCCGCCGCCGCTGCTGCTGCTTTGGTTGTGGCTGTGGCTGTGTCTGTGGCCGTGGTTGTGGGTGATGCTGCTGTTGTGTTTGCTGCTGTATTTGTTGTGGCGCTTTGCTGCTTTTGTTGTTGCCGTTGCCGTTGCCGTTGCCGTTGCCGTTGCCGTTGCCGTTGTTGTTGTTGTTGTTGCTGTGGTTGTTGTTGCGGTTGTTCTTCTTCTTCTTGTTGCTGCTGCTTCTGCTGTTGCTGGTTTTGCCGTTGCTGTTGCTGGCTCTGTTGCTAGTGGCTGATGTTGTTGCTGTTGCTGCCGTTGTCGTTGTCGTTGTTGCTGCTGCTGTTGTTGTGCTTGCGGTTGTATTCGTGGTTGTAGTACTAGTAGTAGTGGTCGTCGCCGTGGCAGTCGCCGTTGTGGAACGACTACTGTGGTTAGCAGGACAGACATGGCTGCGACTCCCTAACGACTCGGAGCCTGGAACAAAGCTCCTAATAACTTCGTGACTTGTGAACCGCCCTGAGGCCCGTTATGCGGCGTTAAACGGCCCCCACATGCAGTCGTTCGCCTTGCCATGCATCCCGTACACTGGCTCGGGGGGTGTGAAGACACGTGGTTTGCACGCTGACGGCAACACTCCGCCTTCATCCTCCGCAACATCCACACGGGAGTGTTCAGCAAGAAGTTGTACAGGTCCATGCCTGATGCCGCGGGCAAGAAGACCGGCAACCCTTGCAGATTTGGGATCGGCTCGGGCAGTGGCTGACGTCCTCCATTGGCCACTTTACAGAGAAGCTGGGCCAGTCCAAGAAGCTCTCCTGGCTCTGCGATGCTCTGCGCGAAGAAGTGCAGCAAACCTCCCTCTCTCTTTTCTCTCCATGAGCCCCGGGCAAAGGGTACCTTGAATCCGTCACTGAGAATCACCGGTATGCCTCGGAATGCTCGCGGAGGCACGAGAGGCAGAAGCAGCTAGGCAGAATTAACATGCCAGCAGCACAACCTGCAAAGAAGGCCTCATACAAGTGATTCGTCCAAGACCTTGCGGTGAGCCGTGCTTGACGACATGCTGATCGATCTCAATCCAAGAGCCCTGTGGAAGCAATTTCTGGGAACCCCGCGAAGTTCCCATAGGCACCAAACAAAAATGTGATGCGCCCATTCCTCAGCAGGTCGGATGCCCCAAACCTGCTCATCCACGGGTGTGGTGGCTGCACACTTGGTCCACGGCGCTCGAAGTAGTCATCAGTGAATCCACCTACGCTCACACCCTCCAGCCCATCGAAGACCTTTGGCAGGGTGAGCGGATTTCTTGCAGGACTGCCCTTGTCTGCAACCCGTGCCGCCGCAAGATTCCACAAGTGCCAAGCAGGCAAAGGGCAAGGACGATCCAGTAAGGTTCTTGTGTTTTGGCATGAGTGCCCGGGCATGCACTTAAATTTTGCAGTGATGCGCAATTCCAAACATAAACTCTGGATCAAGTTCGGTCATAATTGCTTCAATCAGCTGTCTTGCTGCGGAACCACTCTCCAATCGCACGATATGCGTCCTCCTCTTTCTTGCTGTCGCTGTTGAGAATTACGGTTGCACGTTTAGCAGCAATCGGCAGTGGAAGAGCATTCACCCATATTCCATCCACATACAAGTATATGGGCATTGAGCTGTTGACCAACGGGAACAAATTCTTCGTTTTTGCCAAGCAATCCTGGTTCAGCCAGAAAGTGCGCATGCCCTGCGGGAAGGATAAACACTGCCAGCGTGGGTTCGCTGGGAATTGGCCTTGATGATGTTGCCTCGTACGAAATTCTTCTTGTAGAGGTCGTTCAGGCCCGGATGCCGGCCTGCTGCTGCACAGGCAAGGGCAGCTCAGAGCCCACGGCCGAAGAACTTGGGTGCAGGCCATGGAAGTTGAATAGCAACGTTCTTTGCTCGGAAGGCAAGTTGAATTGCGCCATCCGCCTGTAGCGGAAATAATCCTCAGGCCGGATGTCGGCAGCACGCTCAGTGGTTGGAAGAACAATTGCTGCCAAATGCTGCCACGCTGCTGTGTGGCCTGGGACTACGAAATCCTGCACATTGCGGCATGTGCAAGCTCCCAGGATGGAGAGGCAACAAGCTTTCAGTCAGTCCTTCCATGCATTGAAACAACTCGGGCCGCATCTGGGTGTCAAAGCTTCCGTGACGATGAACATTGAGTGAGGGATGTAATCCCGCCACTCCTTCAGACTCAGAGATGTCGGGTAACAAGCAGCATCACGTTAACGGGATGATGTAGCCACGGCGCAGGAAAGAAGTTCATGCCCTGGTCCGAAAACACGAACCTGGCAACAGAATCGTCAGTCAAGCCACATGCCGTATATGCCGTCGGATTTCAGACATGCACCTTGAACTGCCGATCTATGCAAAGGCTTCGGGTTTAGACCCTGTCATACAACATGAACTTAACTCGCGTGTCCACACAGATCCACATCATGATGGTTTGGAGTAACAGCGGTTGCTTGTCGCTTGCCACCGAGGAGCACATGGTCATAGCCATCATTTTTGGACCAATGTGGCAGCATGTCGTCTTTGCGCTTGATCATGTCGATGTACACCGCAGAGACTTCCTCACTACTGGTAAGACATTAAGGGACAAGCATGATGTGGATCCCACCGGCCCTTCAAGATCTTCAATAAAATTTATGGTTCCGGCTTATTGGTGCAACATCTGCTTGACTGTCTGCACCGGCAGTTTCAGTGCCGGTGCTCTGTGCTGTGGCCTTTCATCATTCCAAGCCCTTTCTTGGTTCTGCCTCATCCGCGTATATCAGGAGGAGCCCTCTTTCTTGCTTGTTCATCAAAACCTGTTTCAGCCTCTAAAGCAGCATCGCTCTTTGTCTGCTTTGTCCTGCAGCTGTTCATCATTCCGTATCACGCTTGCCCGACACATTGTTCATTATAGGCTTTGGTCCGAGATGCTCGTCGTGTTTGGTTCATCTTGTAAATCATGCGATCACACCACGTGTGCCATGGTACCAGAAAGAAATCAGCCTGGTCAGGATCCTCCGTTAGGCATGAGCCTTGGCGAAGCCAATGAGGAATCAGGGCCTCCAAACCCCACTGACCATGATGGCAGTGCAGGACGCCTTTGGTCAACTCAGGCAGTTTGTACACGAAGAGTCGCAAACTCGTGCCGTAGCAGTCATGTTGGGGCTCTAACCCGAGCAAGAACGGATAGATCCTCAAGTCATCCAAGTCCGGTGCCCAGTCATCTTTCGCCGCTGTTGGGAAATATGGCTTTAGCTTCGGAATTAAAGACGTGGTCAAGTAGTGGAACATTTTCTGAGCCTCTTGACGCCCATCGTCATAGTCAATAGCACGCAGTGCAACCAGCAGAACAGTTGCCAGTGCAAAGCCGCAGTCCTCAGCATGCTCCTCGAGCATATCATTGTGTGTAATGGCCCATAGCACCTTCCGTATCACACGGGAGTGGGGGAGATCGATGTCAGGCCACTTGTCAACCAGGATTTGTGTATGTTCCCATGTGGTCCTTTTGATAACCTCTGTCCCAACACAGGCCATGAAAGGAGCCCTTGAAAGAGGCTCCACGGCATGCACCAACAGTGGACAAAGGCTTCCCCAGGTTCCCAGGAATAGGAGAATCCAGACTGCTTTCTGGTCTCTCCATGGAACGGCCAGATGCGCCATGGTCCCAAATGCAATTTCGTAACGTGCTCCATCAAGACCTTCGAGATTTTTAAAACTCTTGTGCACATGTTAGTTGGTTCGGCGATCCAGTGTGTTAGAAAGGACGCCCAATACAAAATCGTCTGCTGAAGTGGTGAGTTGATGGCTGGCAGAAAACTGATGCTAGCTTGAGCCGGGCTGAAGTGGGACAAAAATTGAATCGGAAGCACAGTTCCCGTCCCTGTAGCCACCTTTGTGCATCACTTATCTGTCCGCCCGGTAAGGCTAAGAGTGCCCATTTGAGGCCATGTGCTGAGAGTCTTTGATATTGGAGATGCTCCGTCTCTGTATCTCCACTCCCGCTTTAAACGTGCAAACGGATAATTCTGTCAGATTCGCTTGGCGAATGCAGCCCCTATCCGGGAGCCCCAGTACACGGCCTGCAAAGACAAGCAGCGCTCTGACATTCTGTGACTCTCTCAGTGTGCACGGTGGAGAGCCAAGCCCTCATCTAAACGAACGCTACGACGCTGCGCATGCCCACCAGGCAGACGTTAGCAAAGCAGGTCGGCACACCCACGCACAGCACACCAAAACAGGTCAGGCCGTCCGAAAATTGAACAGAGTCCAGAAGTCTGGTTCGAAAACCTGAGGGGGTTGGCAAACATGACACACACACACACACGCGCAGAGAGAGCTCGAATATTCTTTGGATCCAAGGATGTTGAAAGTGTGACTTGTGTCCCGGACTGCAGTGCGGATCTGTAAGCCTCAAGGCTGCATCCTCGCACCGACACGAAATGGGACAGAACCTGCACTTCTTGCATGAGCTTGGATTCGAAGCGACTCCTCTTTGTGATGAATCTCGTCTGCACCTCGTTTGCTCACACATGTTCCAGCAAGTACTGCTGTCAGGCTGAGGCCCAGTTTTGGAGTGCTCGTGACATCTCGCCATGCCGAGCTAGCCACATGCATCTCGCAGGAGCGTGAGAAGAGCTTCATACGCCTGCTGCGCAGCGAAAGACTGTTTGCCGTTCAAGTTCTGCAGATGTTTGGTTCCTCGCGCGGCTGGTGCTCCCCGGCTGAAAGCTCCACTTCCAAGCGGGCGATCTGGTCCTAAAGCTCAGAGACTTCAGTGCAACATATCAATTGTGCGGAGTTCTACGAGACAAATTGAGGTGTCCACGCCGTAATGCTCTTCCACAAATGACTCAACTGCCTGGGTTGTGACCTAGACGCCGCGAACTGTACTGTAGTAGGCACTATGGCCCGACAGTATCAGCATCAGTCGTCTGGCATCGTGCAGAAGTCGTGGATAACATGCAATAATCGAGATGTGCAAAGATATCACAGCGATCAAACGAACGATTGCCCAAGCCCACGGCATACATGCCACGCGCACCTCTGGCCTCGACTTGTGCGACATCGAGCTCTGCCACTCGTGATTGCAGGATCTCGCATAGTGCCGAGGCCAGTTCTGCAGTGGACATGTATCCGAGACCGAATCCAAAAGACTCGGCTGGCATCCAGCTTTGCTCACCTCACACAGCTGTCTAGACAAGGTGACATCACCCAACTGCTGACTGACGTCAGACATCAGGATCTAGATTTCCTCCTAGCGCGCACGCTTAGTTGCAACTTGGACTCCGACTCGAGTGGGAAACAACGGCGCTCATGGCGGCAAGATGTGCTTCTTCGGAGGCCTTGCCGCGTGCACCGCTCTGCAGCGAGAGGAGGCGAGCAGCACGAGCAGCAGGCCACGTGCTCTTCCACAAACCTGAGAGCCCCAAGGAGAATTCGAGGCACCCTGGAACGGATGCTGAAGGGCGCGACAGGCGAAGGGTGTCTCGCGTGGAGTCGCCTTGGAACGGCTGCAGACTGTCTTTGTAAGTCTTTGTATCCAACAGTACAGGCTGTGTCGCAATGGCGGTCGCTTGTGAACTGATGTCTCAGATGAGATGCCCGAAATATGCTTCAGGGCTGCTTGACAGCCACGATAAATCGCCACCTGACTCGGGATGCGATGGCCTGTGGAACTGCAGGTTCGTGAAGCATCAGAGGCGCCAGCCGCGCCAGTCTCTCCGGCCCAGTTGCTTCGCATCTCCTTGGTGGGACAATTGGTAACTGCTCGAAGGTCTGGAGGGGAGACGGTCGAGGGCCGGGCAGCTCGCAACCACGGCGGCCATGGCTTTGACCTCGGGCCACGACTCGAAAGATTTGAGCAGACCATGGCCCCATCAGCAATGCAAACGATATGACGACATGCTTAGTTCGGGCTGCAAAAAAGGCTGCACTGTGGATCGTGCTGACGGACGAGGTTGAGAGTAGCCTCCGAACTCCACGTCCCTTCAACAACGGTCGGGTCATGATGAGATCCCCAAACACCTCAGTCGTGTTGAACGTGCTGAAAGCAGCCCGCTGCATGCAGTGGCGAAAATGGACCTGCGCTACCAGACTACGAACCACATTTCCAAACACAATCTTTGCGATCAAGCATGTGTGCCTGCGTCCGGGAAGCAATGCGCAATTTCATGGCTGTAGATGCTGTAGCAGGTGCTCTTTGCTGTCAGTGGGCTCGGCTGATTGTCATGGATTGGCCTACGAGGCACGTCTGCGGGTGAAAATGCCCCTCAGCATCAGAGCCAGCCAGGCATGCCAAATATGGGAGCAGTCTTGTTTCGTCTTCAGGCAACGCAAAGCACCTGTACTCATTCATCTATGTTGATCGATGCAGGAGACATGCCGATCACCTATCCTTTGAAACTTAACCTACAGTGTTATATACAGTGCCATGCATCTAGCACCAAACGTAGTCCGAATGCAGTGGCGCTTCACCATCCCTGCTACAGGCTGCTTCTGGATATATGCTGTGTGAAGATAACATGGTATCGACCAGAAGCCACGCGTGGGGTTGTCTGAGGTTATGCGCTTAGTCATCGAGTCGTGACGACCTTTTTGGAGCCCACGCTTTGTGGTTTAGCTGGTGAACTTTGCACCAGGCTTAAAGGCTTAAAGACTAAAACTTCGAGCAGGTGGGCCGGCGGAAGTGGGCCAGCCCTTTGGCATCACAGGAAAATCACAAGGCAGCTGATGTTGTCGTTGGACCCACGCGCCAAGGCTTCCTCTACCTCGTCTACAAACTGTCTCTCACGCAAGAACTGCTAAAGTGCTAAAGTCTTAACGGTGGCTGTGCGACTGCGGACCCTGTGGTCAAGTGTGAGCAACCTGTGAGTTAAATACAGTCTACAGTTTGGCTCAAAGGGCTCAAAGATTGGAGGCTTGGCCCCGAACCAGCATGCGTGCCAGAATCTCTGCCAATGATCGGCCCTCTGACTCCTGTCGAACTCCGTTCATGAGCCAAGCCGAGAGGTGGACAGCAAGGCAGTGGCAGTCCAGCTGCCGAGCAACGGGAGTCAGCTCTTGCATGCACTCCATCACCAGCTGGACTGCCTTGAGCTCGGGCAATCAAAAGCGTTGAAGCTCCGGGGGCGGGGCCTGCTGATCATTCATGACGTCCCAGATCCCGTCGCAAGCCAGGATTATGAAAGAATCCTCCGTCGACCGAGATTCCCATGCGGGGCACACTTGCGCTTGCATGAGCGGGGCAAGAACAAGTGTCTTCACTTCCTTTTGCACAGTGACTCGGCATCCATATCTTGACTTCGCGCAGCTCGAAACTTTATGGCTGGCTGCAATCTGGCATTGTGATCAGAAACCCTGGTGCAACCGAGCACATGCGATCTTACCATTTTGGTTGCCAATGCACCACCAACAAATCCGGTAGAAATCAAGACTTCAACATCGCAACGCGCCGGGGTTCTCTGCAGTGCAAGTGCGACTCGCTCATGCAAGGACGACAGCTGCTCAGCAGTGCCATTAGCGCCATCAATGAGAAGTTCTCCTTCAAGAGTGGAGATCGGAGATGTCGCGTGGCACTTGGCACCGCAATCCGGCCGCTCCTCGTTGCGGTTTCTATTGACCTTCCTCTTCCAGCACCTTTTGAGGGTCGAGGAGGAGTTCAGCTCTGCCAAGCTGGGCAAGCCCGCCTCTTCTGCCTGCCCCTCCTCCTTCGAGCACAGATACAAGTAGGGAGAACACCAAAGGGCATGCCGACCCCTGTCCTCAAAGGTGTCCGCGTTGCCCTCTTCTTCGGCACCGCCCTGAAGTTCGGAAGGTCTACGTCAGGCGCCAGTGCGACATGTGGCGACGAGCCTTGGGCTCCTTGTGCTCCTGGATTTGAGCATTCACCTTCAGCTGGCCGTAAAGAGCTTCAACAAAAGCCACTGCCTGGATGAACAGCGGGTCCACCTGCACATACAAGATCAGCAGAACGGTGATATGGACGGCGATGGCAATACCGATCATGTTGAAGTCCGCTGATCCTGCAGGCGCAACGATGATACAGCAAGAGCTGGCTCTGCCGCCTGAGGACCTTGTCTGAGAAGGCTTAAGTCCTGGGGGTGCTGTTGGCGCCTCCGGTGCATCTCCAGCTTGTCCTGAAAGATTAGCTAGAAAATCCTCTGCAGCAGCAAAGGGTCATGATGTGCCTGCGTCGCCAACTTCTCCTTGGTCACCTTGCAAGATCCAGAAGACGCTGCGGCTTCGCAAAGATTTCTGGTCTGAAGCAGTCCTCTGTCTCCCTTTGGTCCAGCCGGCCCTGGGAGAGAGAAGCAACTCAAGAGACAAGGGAAAGCCGGAGGCGGCTGACCTCTCTTTCCGGCCACTCCAGCATCACCTCGATCTCCTGGATCACCTTTGGCTCCGGTGGGCCCAACCGCATCCACCGCATTGTTGTTCCTTCGGAGCAAACATGTGGGACTTCGCTGGGGACGTCGCGCCGTTTCGCTGCATCCGAGAAGCCTCTGCGCGTTTTGCGAGGCATCCTGTGCCTGCGATCAACGAGAAGCGGTAGCGCGGCGTTGATCGTGACACGCTCAATCAAGCCAAGGGGCAAATGCAAGCCAAGCCCCTGAGTCTCTGAGTAAGTTTGAACTGAAGCCATACACAAATTAGCTGACAAGCCATGTAAGCCTGTGACCGTTAGGCTCAACTTCAACGGTGTGTGTGCTCAGTAGAGCCTCTAAACCTTAGGTGGACGGGCGCACTGCCACGAGGGTCTCTGTGTTCTCCATCCGAAAACACTCGAGAGAAGATCGGCCAGGCAGCGGCCGGGGTCAGGTGCCAGAGCCCCCTGGCGGACTGGATTCTGGGCCGGGAGCTGCCTGCGCACCTGTGCAAGGCTCGCAAAAATCGGCAACACAGGAACAAGTCACGTCTTAAGCCTGGGCTGCTCCATTGGATGCCGGCCAGGAGTTCACTGCTACTGGCCAGCCTCCCAAATTGTGAAGGAAGTGGTTGCGACATGCTCAATGCAGCTATGATAATCCCGTCTGAAACCGAATTGCTGTCGAGGTGCTCAGCAGCAAGGAAGTGCATAAGCACCACATGTCAAATATGGAACCTGTGCGTGCGGAGTGAAGTCTCCGGCAGTGATCATGCTCTGTTCTAGTGCACATGCATTCCTGCATTCCTGTGTGTCAAAGTACGAGGCTCTGGGCTTTCAACCTACGAACTCGTTTGTGGATCGCAAGTGCCCAACGCCCAATGCAATGTCTTTGCCTGGCAACCTCCACTTTTGCCCTTCGCTATTGTCAACAACAGCGGTTCAATTCGGCAACCTCGACTCGAGTCCACCTCGCGAAGGCACCCAGGAATCCAGTGTTTCAAGAAGACTCTGGTTGCATGAGCCTGCATTGTTCTGAATCCGAATCCAACGGAGCAAAACCCCAAACTGACAAACCCCCCGGATGTGTGTGATTGCCCATGCAGCCTGCTACAGCAGGGGAGGACTGCTATTCATCATGGTTTGTGCTCGCTTCGACACTTATGACCGAGGCTGTCAAGTGAGCTGCTCCAAGTTGGTTTCCTTTCGTAGCCGCTCTGACTCCGTGTGAGTCCTTGCTGCAACACATTTTAAGACTAGCTAGGGCTTGGCTTGTCAGACGATATAATTTCTTTATGCTATTCTGAGAGCCAACGGCAAGCGATCCGGTTCTTGCGATCGGCGAGGTGGTTGGTGTCAGCTGTCACCAGCTCGCACAATCCCATGTCCTGCTTCGTCAGATCTGTCGAAGTGATGTCGGGCACGTTGCTCACCACATCGTTCGGCAGCATCTCAGTGGTTTTTGTTGCACAGCTCTCGACTGAGAAGAGGAGTCCTCTGTCCGTAAGCACGTTGCTGGCATCTTGAGCACGTGATCGCCCAAAGCCCGCGTCATGGCCAACCTGAGAGCTGAGAGAGCTGAGCAGAGAGCTGAGGCGCTTCGGCTTCAAGGACGGACAGGGACCCAGTCTAGCTCTGCGCACACACACACAGGCACAGACACACTTCGGAGTACACTTCGGCTTTGGGCTTGATTACAAACACTTTCGATTTCGAAGGCCAGAGAAGCATTCCATTCACACGGTCATTGATGATCTGCCCGCCTCGCACCAAGCACAGACTTGAGCAGCTAGCAAACTGTGACGCGCAGTGCTGCGTGCAGAACCTTCGCTAATGGCTCTCGAGGCTCTCGTCTGTCCGTTAGGGAAGCCCTGCCCTCACAGTTGTGCTAGGCTCTCTCATCTCTCTCTTTGCGTCGTCACAAGCGTTTACCATTTCCAAAGCTGTGCCGTCATGTGCCGTCCACTACTGCTTCGTTTGTCAAGATCGTTCCCCTTGCTGTCCGAGAAACAAGCGGCCACCCTCCGATCCTCTCCATCTGTCTGCTCTGTAACAACTCTAACATGCTGGAACTGGGTAGCAGGAAAGCTTCTGTCTAAAGATTGAAACCGAAACCAGGCTCAGCTGCAGCTCAACGCAAAGCACCCACCTGCTTCAATAACCCGCTTTGCTTCCAGCAGGTCTGTAGCCTGCTCTGAAGTTTGGAATCTTCAGATCATCGTGTGCCTTCGAGGTACCAAGGCCTTGTGATCGGTCATGGACGTCATTCGCGTCGCCATTCCGCTTCGTGCCAGCACAGCACGACTGTCAAGCTGGAGTGCATCAACATGTCGTCAGGCAGCACCTTTCACTGCTTGAGATGCTGGCCTATCCCCCAAGTGCGCGGTGTAGATCACGTGCCCGTTAATTTCTTCCTGCTGGCGCAAGCGATAGGATCACAAGCGCTGACCAACGAGGGTTCCCTCTGGATCGGCTTGGCTTGGCTTGCCATGACTCTGCACCACATCGAAACAGAAACGTTGCGGGTGATAATATGCAGGCCGGGCTTCTGCCGGAGGAGTGTTACTTTCACTCAAAAAAACTCCCCCTCGAATCTGCACTAGTAAGCAGTAGCGGGCAGCGGGTGGTGTACACCATTCTGTGTCACTGTTGTCAGGTCCGTGGTTTGCGAGTGGCGGTAGCTACTGGAGGGCGAGGCCAGGGGAACGAAAGCTAGCCTAGGCTGGAGGGACGGCAAGCGAAACAGAGCTGGCGAGGCGGGCTCCAAGCATTATCACATCCAAACTGGCGACGGCCCGCACTAGGCATCCTCATATGCAACCGCAACGGCATCAGCAACGCAGGGGAAACGGGCATCGCATCATCACCTCCAGCACTTCCAACCACATCTACAATCTGCAACTCAGCAACAGAGTGAGGAGGAGCGGTTTTTCAATTCATTGAAACGAGAGCCACGCTAGGCTAGCTTTCGCGACTTCGTAATGTCATGTTCGGAATACCGATAAGAGCAAAACAATCAAAAGTGGGTTTTGCCCGAAATTGGAACCTCATGGGATGCAAGTCAGTCACTGCCATCCGAAGAGACATCTGAGCAAAACTGAAGTCGGCACGAAGGCGCACAAACTGTCGCAGGAAGGCAACGGAACAAGCTGAAAGGACCAAAGTTCGGACTAGGCCAAGCCGGCCAGACGGGTCCGCCACGCTGCGTGCTGGGGGACCTTCGGACGAAGAGCGAAATTTTGTACCAAGACATGAGCACGCACAGGGCGATGAGCAATGCAACCAGCGCTGAAGTCCAGGTGGAGCAAGAATGAGCAGCGCTATGCCAAACCAGCAGTTCGTCAAGGTCGATGAAGCCCACGTGACGGACGTATAGCCTACCAGGCGGTGAGCCCAGACCGACGCAGACGGCCCAGTAGCAGCGGGAGCCCTCGTCCCGATTTTCGAGTGATTGACGCATTTTTGACGCAGCGTGCTCATGTTCTTTCCAGTAGTGCCAAGCGGTGGTTCACTAACACCTGCCTTTCAGAACGGAACCAAAATTGCTGACCGGTCTTGCAAGTTCTAAGGAAGACGCCGAGAACTACGAGGAACAGTGACGGCTCTCGTTTGTGCTCGCTGTGCAGCAACAGCAGCGAAACAAACAAGAGTGCCGTCGAGTGACAACCAAATGGGTTGCGTTACCGACAGCGTGTGCTCTTCACATGGAAACCTTTAAAAATAAGTTGATAAGTTCATTGATATGCATTTGTAGCACATTAACATACATTAACGCTAAACTAAATTCGCTACAGTAAGCCGTGCTCGATCGAGCTGTTTCTTTGGCTTCTCTGCTACCGATGACATGCTCTTCGTATGGAAACCTTGCTGTGAGCAGCGAGCTTGACCTTTTCCACTCACTGTCTATGCTAGCGATCCGGGCAAGCTCGGGAAGAGCCAACTTTCGTCGAAAGACTCGACAAAAGGTGGCTGTCGGTGCGGTTGCAAGCTCGGGCACATTCAACTCCACTATGGGCTCAGAGGGCCTGCAGAAGACAGCAGCATGCAGTGCAGCCCGAGGAAGTGATGTTCCTCACATGGTCAGACCAGCTGTGCCATTCTAGGGCAGCCCTGGGCAAGCTCTGTGAATTGCAGAGCACTGTTGAAATGGAGATGCTCCTGCGAAGCATATCATCGTCAGTGGCTCGAAAAGCCTGCCAGACTGTCAACCCAAAGCTGTCTCGTTTCACCATTGAGAGGCGTCCACGCCTGCAGCAATGCGTCAGCTGGTGAGTCTGTCTTGCGCAGCTCCTGCGTCTGCACAGACTCCCACAAAACAAGCGAGTCGCTCACATCTTGCTGAACGGTTCGTCTCCCGCAGCAGGTTTTCGTGCAACTCGCGGGTGACAAAGTCAACCTGGTGAGTGGAAACATCTCGCAAGCAAACAAGGTATGTGGCCATCGGTCCCGTTTTCTGTATGTATATTGTATATACGATGAAGCAATGTCATAGCAACTGTTGAGCAGCGCGTCTGCTTCAGTTCAATAGAGCTTGCAGAGATGCAACGCTTATTCACTGTGCAAGACTGTTGCACTTGCAAAAGTGGCGTCAATGGCTCACCTGGCATCCTTTCTGAGGCCTGGACCACCTGGCGACCGCCATGCCCGTCATACACGGCAAAGAAGGCACTGCGCTCCCGGCCGCCAAACTTAGCAACGTAGTCTCCAAAAAGAGTGGAAGTGTTCTTTTGCAACAGCAGCTGCAAGGTCAAGGACTCCATGTGTTCGATGCCTGTCCTGTCTGGGCCTCCCGCCTGATCCACAAAGACAAAACCATCCTCCATCTCCGCACGACGTCCTGCATGGAAAGCAGCTACAGCAAGCCGTGTTGAGCCCAGGTTGCTCGCTCCCCCTGTTCAATATTCCCTCCCTGCAGACCTTGGTCATCTGCCCACCCAACTGCTTGAACAGACACAGGATTGTGCGCGAAGCCTGGGATTGACTGTATCATGGTGCAGCTTTCACATCCTGCCGTTCTGTCGGCACCGTCTCAGAGCATCTCAGTTCCGGACCCATCTTACTCGCCATGTATCAGCAGTGCCAGACTCTTCTTTGAGGGTCCAGGCCACGCTTCGACGAACGCTTCGCCAGCATTGCGTGCGCTGCTTAGAGCAAGAGCCGCAGTCAGGCTCTTCTTGAATAGCCTGAATATGAAATCATCTTCTCAAGAGCTAGCCTCTATGATTTGTGACAGGTTTCGACATGCTTCGATTCTGGGCTTGGAAGACTCCGGGGAGTCGAAGCCTCTGAGCAAAAGATGGGAGTCACAACGGGCCTTGTCTGGCCCTAGCCTAGCAAGTGCAGCACTCGGACCATTCTGGGGCTTTGTTCCGCCGCTCGGATGGATGAAGCCCCCTTCTGTCAGAGACTATACAAAGCACATTAGCAATGAATACGTGTGAATACACACTCAAGTTACTCAAGCATATGGCCCGTCGGCCCGTCGATATCAAACTCCTTCCCGATGGGGAAACGACTTCGGCGGAAGGAGCGCAGATGTCGGCAAAGGCTTTAGACGCTCGGTCAGCGTATCTGCGAGGGATTTTCCAGGTCCGTCTTCACTTGACGGATCTTGGCCTGGGCGGCTCAGCTGCTCCAAGGTGGCCTTGAGCTCGGCGTATTGGCGCTGATCCAACTGGAGCTGTTCTCTTTCCTTGGCAATCTCTACCTGAACCTCTTTACGAATCTCCTTCAGCATCTCTGAGTTCGACTCCAGGTTGCGGTGGGAAGCTTCCAGGTACTGATTGGATTGTCTGAGCATGAGCAACATCTCCTCATCGTTCTCAGCGACCTGTCTGAGAAACGCGAGTTCATGCGACAGGTGATTGCGGTCGCGACGCAAAGAAAGGCTCTCAAGGTTGGCATTGCTGCGTGCATCTTGCAGCTGCTGGAGTTTCTGCTTGTCTTCAGCAAGTTCTCGTTCCAGAATTTGCTTCTGAGATAGCAGCCTTTCGCATTCCCTAGATTCGTGAGCAGCTTGCTGCTCAAGCTTTACATCCGCGTCTTGCAAACGCCTCAGCTCGGTATCAAGCTGATCAACCTCATCTCGCAGCTTCCTTGCGAGCTTTCCGTCGAAATTGGCAACCAATTGCAGTTGCTCTGCCGGTCCGCTTAGGCCCAGGTGGTCGGTTGCAAAAGGATCTTTGCCCTCAAAGGCGCCGTCGTCAAAAGCCGAGACCGGTTGCTCGAACTCTGGAAGCTCCTGGGGCCAGCTCGCAGCACCAGCTTCAAAAGGTTGGTCGATTTGGCCATCTGGAAATGCTGGAAACCCAAAGTCAGCTGTCGAATCTTGAAAGCCTCCAGATGCAAAACCGCCTTCGCTTTGGAAACCTGACGCGAAAGCGGCTGTGTCTTCGAAGCCCGTGCTTTGCCAATTGCCGGCATCCTTGGTCTCAACACTGGGGAAGCTTTCGCCAGCAGCGAAGGGGTCGGGCAGCTCTGCAACCGCAGGCTCTCCTGGCGTCACCGACGGGTGCGGTGATGCACTCCTGCTTCGACTCCGGCTGGCCTCACGCTCTGCCGCCAGAACCTCCAGTGGCTCGAGGCTCGCAAGGGAAAGCGCCAGCTGATGAGGCAGCCCTTCCCCCGGACCCGGAATTCTCTGGCCACGTAGAGCGCACGTGACGAGATGGACCAGGCAGACAAACTCCGAAAAATCCAACTTGCCGTCGCAATCTTGGTCTGCCAGCTCCCAGGCTCTTCCCAGCGAGGATCTTTCGAGCCCGGATCGCTCCAAGAGCTCGCTTGCTTCATTGCCCTGGACGAAGCCATCCTGGTCCCAGTCTGTCCGCTTGAACAGGGACGCGTACTTCCGCTTCTCGCGGCGCGAGGGTGCCCACCTGATGGCCGTGCTGCGCGGAGCATGAACGCATGTTAGCTTCAACTTGCTTCATTGCGTTCAAGCAGGTTGGGACGTGTTACAGTACTGGGTTCGAGAGCTATGCGACTTCACAACAGCTTCGTGTGGAAAATGGCTCAGTTCCTACCGCAGCCCGAGTGACCCGGCTGAAAATCCTCAACAGCTCGCCAAACCGTAGAATTTCAGCTACCAGTGACTGTGTGAGTGGTCGGGCCCTCTGCACTTCTGCTGTGTGCCACTGAAGTCTACCAAAGCGGCGCGAACACTAGCAAACAGCCTGTCGCCTGTCCGTGCTGCTGACGCAAACCCGTCGGCATCTTGGCCCGCGCTTTTCGACAGTTTACCACAACTGTTAAGACACCGTGAAGACTTTAGCCGAATATTGAACCTTCGTCTGGTCCAATGGCAGACCAATCTCACTCGTGGAAATCGAGGCGTGATGTCCAACTTTCCAGAAACCCTTGAATAAACTGGCTGCGACACGCCGCCGCTCTAGCAAGAAAAGCTGACATTGGCAACACCAAAGTGCAAAGACATGTTCTGGGTCGATGCCACGCCTTATTTGTCTAGCTGGATCTCCTAGGCGTTCGGCCTTTACCTTTTGTTTGAGTGGCCCTGCCCACCTGTCTGCCGTGAAGGTGCGTGGAGATGATGACCGAGCCCTCCGCTCGCCTCTGTGTTCAAGCTGTGTGCCTGTCACCGACGGGTGCGGTGATGCACTCCTGCTTCGACTCCGGCTGGCCTCGCGCTCTGCCGCCAGAACCTCCAGTGGCTCGAGGCTCGCAAGGGAAAGCGCCAGCTGATGAGGCAGCCCTTCCCCCGGACCCGGAATTCTCTGGCCACGTAGAGCGCACGTGACGAGATGGACCAGGCAGACAAACTCCGAAAAATCCAACTTGCCGTCGCAATCTTGGTCTGCCAGCTCCCAGGCTCTTCCCAGCGAGGATCTTTCGAGCCCGGATCGCTCCAAGAGCTCGCTTGCTTCATTGCCCTGGACGAAGCCATCCTGGTCCCAGTCTGTCCGCTTGAACAGGGACGCGTACTTCCGCTTCTCGCGGCGCGAGGGTGCCCAGCGGTCAACCGTGAAAGTCCGAGGGGAGGAGGAACGAGCTCGCTGCGTGTTCTCCTGGCGCCTTCCACGACCACCAATCACAGGCTGCAGCTCGGACTGCTCACTGCCACCAACGCTTTGCGGTCTCGAGCCCTGTCCAGATGGTTCTGATGGACTCCGTCTTTGCAGCCCTGGAAAATCTGGAAGAACTGGTGGCTCTTGATATACGCATTGTGGGTCTGGCTGAATGCCTGATTGTGCCCAAGCTACAAGTCGACAGGCCACATAGAAGCCTTCCACGTGCAGGTATCCCTGTGTTGCATTTGCAGAGGCGATCTTCCAAATTTCGTGCAAACTCTCGCGGGGCAAGTCACTCAGGACAAGGAACTGCCCTCCAGAAATACTATCAATGCTCTGCGTTCCGGCGGGGTTCGCAATGCCATAGAGCTGTTGGTAGTACTCGAGTTCTTGCTGCGAAAACTGGATGCTGCTGTGGCCCTGCTGCATGGTTCATAACTAAACATCCGCTGCAGAGTTGCAGCGTGGCATGGGCAACACAATCGCAAGCGGGACGAGTGGAAGACACTGCAACACATATCACCCTGCTCCAAGCTTTATGCATTGGCATTGATGTTATAACTGCTGACGAGCGTGAATATGAAACTGTTTATAGAACCAACTTCGGAGCTACAGCTCGTGGCTCAAAGGCTGCGCAGATCCAGGCCTCAGGCAGTCCACAAAGATTTCAGGAAGCCTCCGCCGAGCGCCCTTCAGTCCAGACCTGCAAGGCTCTTAAGGGGGCGCAGCTTGCCTCCTGACTCCCAGAGACTTTTCTCCTGGCGAACCCGCGTCCCGTCCACAGGAGTCAACATATGAAAGCACTCGGCCACCAAACTTAAGCAACCGAGTGGAAGGGCTTGTGCTGCATCAGAATGTTCTACTCGAAATGTCTAGATGAGCCCATATAATGTCGCAGCACAAACGCACACCATTAGCAGGCGACGTTCACGGCAGAACGCCTCAGGTGAAACTTCGCTTTGCTGCGACACCGACGCAGAAATCAAAGACCTGCGGAGATTCGTGCACGGCCCATAACAGGCCTTGTTGCGTGCTCTACAACCGAGCTGGCCCAGCGCAGAAGGCGAAGACTCTGATCCGTCTGCAGAGTCACGCGACGCTGTCAGCAGCAGGGCCACTGGAGGCTCTAGCTCAGCAAACCCTCGCTCTTGGAATGTTTCCAGAGAAAGTCACTAGCTGCTACGATGGCTACGAGGGTGAGACTGACCTCTGCGCAACTGGAAATTGCCTTTGGAGGTTTTGAACTAATTATTGCTTCCCATGACGCCCATCCTGACATGGACGTCGGATCAAGGTTTAGCCTCTTTGGAATCGGTGGTGGGGCATGCCCTCGGGAAGTCTTTGCAGATGCATCAAATCAGAATTAAATTTTCATTTCGGCCAGCACGCGGGAGCAAAGCTCCTTGTACGATGCGAGCCTCACAGACAGTTCTTCACTGGACAAGAGGACACCTCCACTTCAGCAGCCGTGCGCCCGGCTCGCCAGCTGCGCGTCTGAAACGAACAACATAAATCCTGGCTGGGTGTCACCCTGGTGACACCATACATTTCTTGGCTTAATTACTGCTTCAATTGCACAGTTTGGGAGTACCTAGCGCAAGTCGCTGCCTGAAAGCTGGCAGCTCTGTCGACCAAGGCTGGCGCGATTCCAGGTGATCCAGGTGAGAGATTTCCATCTCAAAGCGCAAACCTCGGCAACGGCCGGGAACTCCGCCAGCTGCTCTTGTCAGGCTCCGACGCCCTCGGGCGCCCACTTTGCTTTTGACAACGCACGAGAAAGGTGTTTGCCTGACCCGTCACTGCGAAAACGCGTTACTGCACTGGCGAGTCCTTGCCGTGCCTGCTTGAAGACCACTCGCTGCAATGTTAGCGCCTTGTGTATCTCCTCATGTTCACCAGGTCTCCAGTCTGCACATGTCTGCACACTGCACACATGACGGGCATGTTCCTGCATGATCTGCTTCGGTGCTTTGGAAGAGGTGCAGGAGACGTTGAAAGCGCCACGACCTCGTGGATTATGCACGCTGTCCTGCCAAGATGGGCTGCCGTTCCATGACCGGCTGAGTGGAGGACATGTTCGCATGGATTGGTCTCTGTTGTCTCTGGCCGAACCAGGGCCTTGCAGTGCAGTCTCTTACATATGTCTTACATGCCGGACCGACAGAATGTGTATCTCTTGGGAGTCCACCCAGCACTTCACCGGAGGAGCCATGAATGCCGTCCGGCCTGTACATGAGCATCGCCCATGATTTTGCAACACACGTGCATCATTGGGGACAGCACGTTGTCGAAGCTGCACACGCCCCATATGTGCGGCTCGTCCAAGCCTTGTTTAGGTTTTCCAGCTATCTAGCACGTCGTCTGTAAATCCCCCACGACGTGAGATCGTTTGGCATACGGTAAGTCCTTGACAGCGGCATGGCCAGTGTAGAGGTCTGCCGCCACAGATGCTGCTGTTGCCGCAGCACCCTCTGCTGGCCCACCGATGCGGCGGCCTGGTGCGGCTAAGGTTTCACTGTCACTGTGTCACCAGTACTTTTTGCTGCACTAAAGTGCTAAAAGCCCCGCTTAGCGAGGGGCTGCTGGTATTTCCTGGCCGTCTGTGTGGCACCGGAAAGCTTGAAGAAGCCTGTAGTCAAGCGGTTTCACATTTGCAACAGCGGTGAGTGAAAGTGGCCCACCTCTGGCGCCGCATAGTGCCTGGAGCCCCAACTGCTAGTAGCTGCGGGTCATCTCTAGAGTCGAGAGTTCAGGCGCGAGCCTCCTTCGCGCCTCGTTCACATACTGAGCACCTGAGCAGGCAATCTCAGCCCAGGGGGAGCCTTCGAGGGTTCTTTTTGAGCCACGGGGCGTGATGAGGCCGGCCCGGCGGGCCGGGTTGGGGTGTTCATGCCCTGCAGTCAGGCCATCGGAAGAGGAAAGGAAGGGCCAAGTATAATAGGACTGGAGCCGCCTGTGAAGTACCAGGTCTCTGTGGTTCGCGCGCGCTTTGAGGCCCAGGATCACCTGGCGAGTTAGCGTGCGCTGTGAACATGTGAAGCAATCGGTTCGCTTGCGAGGAATGTTGCAAAAAAGCGAAAAACGATACGACTTTTGGATGCCCCAATTGAAGCGCCGCCCTTTGGCGATTCGTCAGAGGAAGCACGCCTTCCCCATAATCTGATACACTTGCGTGGAGGACAGAAGTTCCACAAATCTTGGGTTAATGTGCTGCAGTCGCTTGAGCTCAGATGCCTCCATATCAGAGATTTTGATCAGCTTCTCCAGGACGGTGTCACCACCATCAATGTCATCCTTACACCACATGGCTAAAACCTCCAGGCAATCAGTTACATTCATGACGTTGTGCTCTCTGGCCATGAGGAGCATACGCTCCAAGAACGGTGCAGGAACACAGGGGTTCCTAAAGTCATGCACGCGAGTCAGCGCTTTCCACGAGGAGAGACTGGCTTCACACAAACGCTCATCAAGTTCGTCACTCTGCAGGAAAGCAGAAGTTCTTACGAAGCCAACAAACTCCGCTTCCGTGAGTTCTGGCCGTGCTCGCGTCGTGATGCAGTGAAGAGCTCGCAAGAAAAGCTCAGGATGCGGCGGCTGGATGGCAACTGGGCCCTCGCTACTTGCCAAGTCTGGGCCCAGCAAGTCTGAGAGGAAGCGCGAGCGTCCACCCATCAAAACACTTCGATGGACAGGAACGATGTCATCACCAACTTTGATCTTCAAGTCGCTCTCCCAGCAGACTTCGAGCTGCAAGACACCACAAGCACCGGCTGGAGGATACAGCGTCATGCAGCCCACCAGTGAATTATGTTCACAGCAGTTTTCACAGCTTGATCCTTCCGCTGGCCTATTAACCTGCTTCAATGAGCAGCTAAACATGCCTAGGCGTGGCTTCTTACGTAAAGTCGCAGCCCTTGAAACTAGGATTGATGCACCAAATCGCAATGCCACTATATGTCACTACCAGCATCTATGAGCCATGTCTGCGTAGGCTCCGCGACTGCAAAGCGGCATTCATGAGGCACGTATCAAAGTCTCTGCTGCACACGTGTAGGGCGGTCGGACCTGCATTGTGACGGCCACTAGGCGTGCTCGTTCGATATCCTTGTGGTGTGGTCTCAGGTGCTCGCAGTTCTACGTTTCAGAAAATCTCTGCAAAGTTGAATCAGCAGCCTCTGGGTGTCGGAGTGCCTGATGCCGGCTGGAAGGAGGATCCGTTCGGCGTCTGGGCCTGTCCCGAGAGGCCGAGAGGCACCACAACTTGCAAGAGCATGGTAGCATCATCAAGAGATGCGCTGTGCCTGAGATGAGGACACTTTTCGTCTGCCCACGGGCCTAGGCAGCAAGCTTTCTGTCAAAGGACTGATGGGCGCAGCTTTCGCATCGCTTGCATCGCCCTCGGCCCAACACGTCGAAGTCCCATGAGTGGCTGTGTGACTCCTCTGGGAAGGAAACTCATGGAGTCCACGGAGGGCAAAGGCTGGTGTCCGCCAACATCCGAGGACAGGGCATGTCTTGGTGACGGCCACGGCTGGGATGGCCTGCACGTGGTAGCAAGATCGCTAGAGATCAGCAGTAGCGTTGCTCACGCACGCTCATGCCCTCATCATGCGGCACCTGTAGAGGGCGGCCGTGGCCTGGCCGAATGACTTCGGCAACTGCTCCGACACACAAGTAATTACAGCATGTTGCAGCGGTGACTGAGATCCGGACTCCAGCGGCTTGCTGGAAGCCTCTGCCTGCACTGTCACAAGACACCACTCGTGATGCCAGAACATCTCTACAATCTGCTGGGCCATCCTATACCGGCATCTCAGCAATCCTGAGGACTTAGCCTGGCTTTTGACTGGACCTGCCGAAAACACCAAGCACCGACTTTGGCCTTTTGGCTCCTCTGACAGCCTGGAGCATGCCCAGGTGCAACTTGTCCAGGAAGTTGCCCTGGAAAGGCCTCCACCAATTCCACCGCTATCGGTACATGTGCCGGCCATCCGGGTTGCCCTCAAGCACCGCACCCAGTTCCCGTAGTTCGGAGCTCCTCGCAAAGTCGGGGACACTGAAGGCCGCGTTGCTGACAGTTGTACCAAAGACTATCGCACTCCTGGTTCCGGGGTCTTCGAACCTCCCGCAGAGCGTGGCGACGATCCGCCGGCTGCACGATCTGCGTCTGCGGCGATTGCACGTGCCTCGGCTCCGAGGTGAAGAAGCCTCTGGGTCTTCGCCTCGAGCCCTCTGCTGGACCCCATAAGGCTCCTGCCACTGGCACATCATCAAGGCCTCATACAGAGGCACTGCGCAAAGAAATCGAAAGCCATTCAAAGTCGGTCAGGGCAGGCGTTCAAAATTGAGTTTGCCGCTGAGCTTGGGCTTTTCCGCAGTTTCGGCCTGCAGTGAAACAACTCCAATATACCTCCGGGGCTTTATCTTCT